CCAGCCGGCAAAGACATTTGGACTTCAACTCCCAGAATTCTCCAGCCAGCAAGGATGTTTGGACTTCAACTCCCAGAATTCTCCAGCCGGCAAAGTCATTTGGACTTCAACTCCCACCAAAGCTGGCTGGAGAATTCTGGGAGTTGAAGTCCACATGACTTAAAATTGCCAAGTTGAGAAACACAGCTTTAAGCTGCCATTTAGCAATATGGGATATGAGTTGTTTGAGAGGAGGGGGTTGGATTTGGATCTCCCCCCCACCCCGCAAGTTCCCTGGTGGTGGTGTTTGCTTTTCTCCTCTCTCTGTCGCTCTCTCTCTCTGTCAGCCATGCGCAACCTTGTTTTCAGCAGCATGTTTTATTTGTAGAAGAGGATGTGGTCGGAGTGGCCGGATTTGAGCTTCTTCCTTTAACAGAAAGTGGGGGGTGCTGGGTGGAAAAGGGGAGGAGAAAAGCGGGAACTGGACTTGGCCGCTGGGGGGGTGGGGGGGGTTGGCACAATTGGGGCCATAGTGCTGCAAAATGCCAGGCTCCCTGATGCGCCACAGAGAGAGCTGATGACGTTACCTAGGTGGATGATGAAACGTCTGCAAAAAAACCCCACCAAGCTCAGAGGGAACCAAGGACTCTACGGTCGTCATCGACCTCCTCCTCCCGTTCTTCCTCTCTGCAAACCCCCTCTCCCTTCTAGCACTGATGATGTTACCTAGCGGGGTCATGAAACGTCTGCAAGAAAACCAGCGAGATCAGAGGGCAGCCAGGCGCCCACAGGTCAACCCTGAGCTACGTAATGTTCTCTTTCCTCGATTGCTTTGATCATCCTACCTCCACCATCTGCTGGACATGCCTCTTGACGGCAAGACGGTCCGGCTTGGTGGCTACTCTGGGCGCCCACTCTACGACCACCGGAGGCTTGAATTGGGTGGATGGCTGTGAAGGGGAAAAAGGGAGAAGAGAGCTTTAAGAAACGGGGCCTTCAGGGAAGACTCGGCCCTTCCTCGGGGTCTTTTGTCGTCCTCTTCTTACCAGCATTTTGAGGCAGCGAGGTTCACGAGAGTACGAGAGGGCGTAGATTTCCTCCTCGGAGTAGTAGAGATCCAAAGAGAGCTGGAAGGCAAGAAGGCAGTTTAGGGCAAAGGAAACACACCCAGTACCCCAAAATCCCAGGACTGTTGGCTCAGAACCATTGCTATCCCGATGACTTCATGATGGACAGCTGGGGCACGTCGAGCTCCTCCCAGGTCATAGCTGGGCATTACCGGGCCGCATCCAGCCTTTTGTTTATCCCTGTCCGGTTTGAACGGATTGCTTTTATTTTGAAGGAATTCTCTTTTTAAACTTATATATGTGTCTGTATGCATTGGGGGCGCGGCGGCTCAGTGGCCAAGACGCTGAGCTTGTCGATCAGAAAGGTCGGCAGTTTGGCCGTTCGAATCCCTAGCGCCGCCTAACGGAGCGAGCTCCTGTTCTTTGTCCCAGATTCTGCCAACCTAGCAGTTCGAAAGCACATTTTTTAAAAAAATGCAAGTAGAAAAATAGGGACCCCTTTGGTGGGAAGGGAACGGTGTTCTGTGCACCTCCGGCATTTAGTCATGCCGGCCACATGACCACGGAGACGTCTTCGGACAGCGCTGGCTCCTCGGTTTTGGAACGGAGACGAGCACCAGCACCCCCTAGAGCCAGAAATGACTAGCATGGATGTGCAAGGAGGGGAATCTTTACCCTTTACCTATGTATGCATTGCCTATGCACCTTCCCCCCTCTCTTGGTATAGTCCTTCACAACAGTGTCAATTTCTCATGTGGCCTCTTGGGGAAAATTAATTGCCCACCCCCTGGTCTAGGTGGTTGAACAGCAAAAGCAAAGGCCAAAGAGCACCTCTCTTTTTGCCCCAGCCTTACTAAAGCAAACGGCCCTGGAACCTCCAAAAAGAAGGGGGCAGCCCCCTTGAGTGGATCGGGACACCCCGCCCCAAGGCCGGCTTAACTACCGCCATGTTCCCCCATCTCCCATCCTGGATAAGCTCTTTGGGGTGGCTTCCTCCTACAGCAGAAGTCTTCAACCTTGGCAAGTTTAAGACTTGTGGACTTCAACTCCCAAAATTCCTGAGCTAACGTGACTGGAGGAGGAATTCTGGGAGTGGAAGTCCACAAGTATTAAGGCTGTCAAGTCTGAAGACCCCTGATCTACAGTATTTATCTTCTATCTCCATCTCTCTCTCTCTCTCTCTCTCTCAATCAATCAATCTATTCCAAGGGTCTTCAAACTAGGCAAGTTTAAGACTTGTGGACTTCAACTCCCAGAATTCCTGAGCTAACATGACTGGAGGAGGAATTCTGGGAGTGGAAGTCCACAAGTATTAAGGCTGTCTAGTTTGAAGACCCCTGATCTACAGTATTTATCTTCTATCTCCATATCTATCTATCTATCTATCTATCTATCTATCTATCTATCTATCTATCTATCTATCTATCCCAAGGGTCTTCAAACTAGGCAAGTGTAAGACTTGTAGACTTCAACTCCCAGAATTCCCAAGCTAACATGACTGGAGGAGGAATTCTGGGGGTTGAAGTCCGCAAGTCTTAAAGCTGTCATGTTGGAAGACCCCTGGTCTACAGCCTTGGTCAGGGAGTTGGACTAGAAGATCTCCAAGGTCTCTTCTAGCCCTATGATTCCATGAATGTGGCAGGGGAAAAGTCCATATTCTCCAAACATGGATCGGGATTAACCGTGCCTTGGTTTGACTCCAGTTGATTTCCTTCAAAGGCAGCCAAGTTAACTTCCTTCAACCCACCTACCACTGGACCGCCTGCACTTCAACCTGCCCGTCAACCCTCCTGTAGTCTCCATGAGTTCTCCAAGGATCTTCCTTACCGTCAACAGATGCACCAGGTCCTTGTTGGCTTCGAAGGGCGGCTGAGCCCGTTGCCGCATCCGGAATTCCCACACCGGCTCGTAGAGGCTCTGCAGCTTACTCAAGTTGAGACGTCCACCTTCTACACGATCCGGGAGGGCTTCGTGTAAGGTCACCAGGTCCTTGAGGTGGACTCCCACAATGGGGATCTTGAAGTCTTTGCAATCGGCGTAGGCCCGACGGTACGCCCCATAGTTTCCACTAGATGAGAGCAATTCGGTCATCTCGGCGAGCACCTGCGCAAAGAAAAGTCCAGAAAAATAAGTATAAATCCCATTTTAACCCTCGAGCAAGCCGCCCTTTCTGAAGAACTCCTTTCAAAATGGATTCACGGATTCGTCGTTTTCTCGGCGTTGGACTAGCAAAATCCATGGGAGTAGCATGATTCGCTTAATGACCTCATGATTCACTTAACAACTTAAGAATCCCTTAGCTGTGGCAAAAAAAAAAAGATTGTAAAACAGGACACAACTGACTTAATAATTGTCTTGGTTAGCAAATTTTGGGCTCAGTTGTGGCCGTAAGATGAGGCCTACCTGTACAACCACCTCATGCTGAGGGGAAAAAATTTATACTAATGGACTCGCCCAACCTCCAGACCCCATACCTGAAAGAACACTCAGCTCTTCAGGGACTTGGCATCCTGTAGACCTGGGGTCTCCAACCTTGGAAAATTTAAAACCTGTGGACTTCAACTCCCAGAATTCCCTAGCCAGCATAGGACTTGAAGCTCACAAGTCTTAAAGTCCCCACAGTTGGAGAGCCCTGTCGTAGACAGTCAAGAGCCAGGGTACCGATGTGGACATGGCTACCTCACTACTACCTGGCTACCTTTGGGATACCTCACCGAGGCTAAACCCCTCCTCTCCTTTGTCCTCAGGAAGGCTCTTTCCTTACCTTGACGACCTCGGAAGGTAGAAGCGCATGGGTCTCCTTGAGGCGAGCAATAGTACTGTGGCAAAGTCCTCCCACGATCGCCATGAGCGTGTTGAAGTTCTGCAGCTGCCTTAACTTCTGCAACGGGAGAAGAAACAAGAGGACCGATCGCAAGCGGAAAGAGTCGACTTTTTGAGAGACTCCTCGACGTTTCCCGGGAGCACATTTTCAAACCCGGAGGCTCACGTGGATGTCCTCTTTTAGAAACACGAGAGAAGCAACCTGAGTGGCTTCTTCATCAACATTTTGTCTCGGCAGAGTGACCGTGAAAGGAACAGGAACGTCCTTTCGTCTCTTCCCGCCCCCCATTTCAAGGCTCAAGTGCCCCCCATTTCTGTTTCTTCCCAGTGAGCACCTTACCTGGGTCACGTGGATGAACTTGGTGAAGACTTCTGCTCGCTGCTGAGGTGTGGGACGCTTGAGGATCATCACTTGCACCCACTGGGAGATGCTGTTAAACAGGGTGATGGCACGTTCCAAGGCTGAGATGCCGTGCACAGATCCACGCAGCACGTAATTCTGGAAATCCAAGTACTGCCCGACAACATACAATTATAAAAGGTAAGAACCGGTCCGGCTGGATTAAACAGAGTCCTAGCTAAATCCAAGGTTCTGTTTTCTGGATGACTCATTGGGGAAACCACTTGGAAGTCGATTGACATTCAGGGTTATGTTTTGTTCACCACTTTCAAGGCGGATCGACAGCGGGAAGGGAAGGTTTTCTCCATTTGTAGGAATGTTCTTATTCACTTCTAAAACCCCATCTCTTGCACGACTATTGCTTTTTATTATTCACGGTGATGAGGATTGTTTACAGCGGGGAGAATTCTCACCCCTTTCCGCTATGATCCCCTTCCCTTCTCCACCATCCAGTCAGAGCTGAAGAAGCTTCTTGGATGAGAAGCGAAACCTCTTCAAAGAAAAAGAAAAAAAAATAACCCCAGAAAGTCCAGTTGCCTCTTAAAATAAGTACCTTTGGGACAACCACAACCTGGATGACTGAGAATCTCCATAGACATTCAGTCATAATCCAGGTTTTCTCACTGTAGAAGGGAGCTTTTAGCAGGTAATGCATGTAGTCCTCGACTTACAACCACAGTTGAGCCCAGAATTTCTGTTGGTAAGTGAGATGTTCGTTCAGTGAACTTTCTCCCGTTTTACAACCTTTCTTGCCGCAATTGTTAAATGGATCACTGCTGTGTTAATTAGTAACGCGGTTGTTAAGTCAGCCTGGCTTCCCCGTTGATTTGGCTTGTCAAGAGATTGCAAAAGGGGATCCCATGAACCTCGGGACACACAGCAACCGTCATAAAGATGAATCAGTTGCCAAGCATCCAAATTCTGATCACATGACCACGGGGAGGTGGCAACGGTCGCAAGTGTGAAAAACGGTCGTATGTCACCTTTTTTTCAGGGCCGTTGTAACTTCGAACGGTTGCTAAATGAACTGTTGTAAGTCAAGGACTTACTTGTCTGCTGGTTCCTTCCAAAGCAGGATACCCAGTCAAGGGGCACAACCTTTTCAGGGTGGAGAGGAGTACTAGGAATCAGGTGGCAGGCCCAGAATGTCAACTAAAAAATACACCTTTGGTCTTTTTAGTTGCCAGCAGAAAGGGAGCGGGGGAAAAGCAGTGCATTCCTTAAATGCCTCAGATAAAAGCTGTTGGCACACAAGATTATTACTGGAGAGCATGATTGATGACTCTTGGCTATGGAGGTGTCCCATTGGAGAATCTACATCCAGAGGGTGGGGGAAGATCAGGGTCAAGGGAGAAATGGATGATGTATTTTAGTGTTGGCTGCACCCAGCTAAGGCCAACATGGCCACCCCTAATAAATCTTTTTTTTTTTTACTCTGAGAGATGTGGTTAGAGACTTATGAATGGGGGCGCATTTGTTGGAACCCTAACAAAGAAACGACCAAGGAAATCTACAGCCTTGCACCTACGCCTCCCGCAAACTCACAGGTTTAAGTGGGGGCAGGAAGAACAGGTTCCAAAGATTGTTATCCTGGCTAAAAATTGGGCTTAAGCAATTGCTTTCTTGCATTCCAATTTCGAATTAAATTTACATTTGGTTCATTTAAAAAACAACAACACACATCTTCAATAACGTACTATACCCCTTTGATCGTGTTCAAGTTTGATACCAGTTCCTGGAAGGGCTTTGGAAACAGTGGATAAAATTGTAAGGATCCACTAATGTTCTACAGATCATTTTCAAGCCTGCTAACGTAGGAAGTCCTCGACTTACAATCACAGCTGAGGCCCGTCAACAATAGTGTAGGGCCGTGTTGGCGAACCTATGGCACACGTGCCACAGGTGGCACACAGAGCCATTCGTGCCAGCACGTGAGCCCCAGACAAACTTACCTCACTGTGCATGCGCACACCTCCCAGCTGATTTTTTGGGTTGTTTGAGGCCGTTTTCGCCCTCCTGGAGGCTCGAGGGAAGCCTCTGCAGCCTCGGGAGGCCGAAAAATGGGCCTTCTGGAAATACCGGAAATGCTGAAACGGGCCAGTTTTTCGGCCTCCAAAGGCTGCAGAGGCTTCCTTCGAACCCCCGGGAGAGAAAACAGCTTCCCCCGGGCTCCAGAGGCCCTCTGGAGGCTGAAAACAGGCACTTCTGGTATTTCTGGAAGGCCCGTTTTTCGGCCTCCCGAGGCTGCAGAGGCTTCCCTCGAGCCTTTGGGAGGCCAAAAAAGGCCTCAAACAACTCCAAAAATCAGCTGGAAGGCAGGCACATCTGCAGTGCAAGTAAGGGTGTTTGCGCACGCATGTGCAGGGGGGTGGAGTACATTGCATTGTAGATGCCGGCATGCATGCACTATCAGCACACCACAACAAAAAGGTTTGCCATCACTGGTGTAGGGTCTCCTGCTTGAGCGGGGTGGGGGGTTGGACTAGATGACCTACAAGGCCTCTTCCAACTCTGTCAATCTGTTAGGTGAGTTTTGCCCAACCTTCTCCCCCCTGCCGTTAAGTGAATCACTGCAGTTGTTAAGTCAGTCACGCGGTCTTTAAACGAATCTGGCTTCCTCCATCGACTTGGCTTGTCGGAAAGCGGCTGGAAAGGGGACAAGGGGTGATCACGTAATCCCCCCAAGACTGTGCAACTGTCATCAATACACGCCAATTGTCACACGCCTGAATTTTGATCACATGACCAGTATGGGGATGCTGTAAGAGTCGGAAGTTTTTTTTTTTAAGAAACACAGTCGTAAGTCACTTTTTCCAGTGCTGTCGTAACTCCAAACAGTCACTAAGTGAACGGTGGACAACCTGTAGAGTCCAACTCTTTGCAGCTGGAATTTCTACTCTACTGCCTTCCCAAAACCGGGGGTAGGGGTAGAATTTGGCACAGGGACAGAACGAAGCAGAAAGAGGCAAAGGCCCTATCTCCTACGTCGATCTGGAATTTCCACTAGACAGGAAATGTCCACATTTCCTGTGGGCCTCTAGATGGTTAGTACACCAGTTCCTGGCTTACTAGTAAGTTTTGGCTGGGGGCTTGGGGGAAGAGAAGAGCATTGATGTTGTATTAGATATCGGTCAGCTGCAACCCAGGACGCAACGCTTTTGAGCATGGTTGGCCAGAAATCTGAAGCAACCACTGACCGAGTGGGGGGGGGGGGGGGGGAGTAGGCAGGATGGCAGCCAGTCACGGGTAACGCAAGGTTTCAATTGCTGTAGACATGGGGTGCTTGCTCTTTAAGATGCTTAAACCTCTCTTTCGCAAACTTGCACCATTTTAAGATGGCTGGACTTCAACTCCCAGAATTCCCCCGCCAGCCACGCTTGCAATGGAAGACTCCATTAGACCCAGGGGCGGGCTTCAAAAATTTTAGAAAAGGTTTCTCGGCCTGGTTTCTGGGTGGGCACGGCCATGGTGGGTGTGGCCTAGTCGGCCTTCTGCACCACAATGTGTTTTCTCTCTCCCCGGACTCCCGAGGCTTTTCTCGAGCCTCCAGGAGGGCAAAAAGGGCCTCCCCAGGCTCCGGAAGCTGTCTGGAAGCCAGAAACGGGCCCTTTTCTGGCCTTTCCGAACTTCCGGGAGCCCATTTTTCACCCTCCCCGAGCCTCCCTGTGCGCTCCTTTGCGGTTTCTTACCGAAAGACGGCAGAATGCCTTGAATTCCAGGTAACTGAGATGGCCGGCTAGTTCACCTGGATCCAGGTGATCAAAGAGGAGAGAGACTTTGCGTTTCTTGCCACCGGCAGGACTGTGTTGGCAACTGAGGGAACGGTTCCAGGTATGATTCACCCTGGAGGAAGAACAAACACAGAAGGGACTTGTTAGGGGACCGAGATGTGATCACCTGGGGCAATGGCGCAGAGGCCACCAAGGCAGCTGACAGTTCAAACCGCCCCTGTATTGCTCCAAGTTTCCCCAAATGCTCCCATATTTCTGGCAAGTCCCAAAACAAAGTGATGTGTCTCTCCCTCTCTCCCTCTCCCTCCCCCTCCTTCTCCCCCTCCCTCCCTCCCTCTCTCTCTCTGTCAAGGCTCCGACAAACCACCCCCATTCAAATCATAAGTCTCTAGCCACATCTCTCAAAGTAAAAAAAAAAAAATGATTTATTAGGAGTGACCATGTCAGCGTTACCTGGGTACAGCCGACTCTAAGACACATAATTCATTTCGCCCCTGACCCTGCTCTTCCCCCCGCACCCCCTGGATGTATATTCTCCAATGGGACACATCCATAGCCCAGAGTCATCAATCAGGCTCTCCAGTAATAATCTTGCGCGCCAACAGCTTTGGCTGCCTAGCAATTATCTGAAACATTTAAGGAATGCACTAGATTTAACAGATAATCAGAGTTGGAAGGGACCTTGTAGGTCATGTAGTCCAACCCCCCCCTGCCCCAGCAGGAGACCCTACACCATTTCTGACAAATGGCAATCCAATCTCTTCTTGAAGGTCTCTAGTGATGACGCTCCCACAACTTCCGAGGGCAACTTCTGTTTCATGGGTTGATTGTTCTCACTGTCAGAAAGTTCCTCCTTATTTCCAGGTTGAATCTCTCCTTGTTCAGTTTCCATCCATTTTCCCCACTCCCTTTCTGCTGGCAGTTAAAAAGATCAAAGAGTCTCTCTCTCTCTCTCTCTCTCTCTCTCTCTCTCTCTCTCTCTCTCTCTCACACACACACACACACACACACACACACACACACACACCTCAAGCAAATAGGGCTGCAAATAGTCCAGGTCAACACTGTCAGCACCACTGCTGCAAAGCAAGAAATCCAGCAGGACAAGTCAAGGAATCCAGGAAGCAAAGAAGCAAGGCAAGTAATCCAGAAATCCAGAAGGAATGCAAGGAATCCAGAGAAGTTGAACGCTGGCGCTCAACACTCCATGAAATTCAGCGTTTGTTCCCGACAAATGCCCCTCCCCAAATGTCTCCTTAAGTCTTAGTCGCCGGGTGTGCCTTGTGTAGAGGGGAGGGGCACTCTCCTCCCAAGTAGTTGGCTCAGTCTGCGCTGCTCTCGCCTTCTATCCACTCTCCATGCTCTCGGATCAGGAGGGGGTGGTCCTCGCACATCGCCTGAGCTCCGTCTCTCATGTTCCCTGTTTAGCCCCTCGTGGTCATCCTACCCCTGTTCCTCCTTGCCTACAAGACATCCCAATCCTGAAAGGCCTTGGCCTGGACTGGGCCCGATCCTCCTCATTTTCTTCCAAAGCCAACGAAGCTGCCCCCTCAATCTCTGTCGGCTCTAATTCCAGCTCATCTTCCCCCGACCCCCATCCCAGATTCAGGCTCTGACGGTGGGCATGACACGAGTATCCAAAGATTCACAAGACCAGAAGGCTTCTCTGTGGAAATGCAGAGCAATGCAAGACCAACACTCATTGCTAGGGTGTGGACGGTGTGCACCTCAGCTACCTGGAGAAACATCAGCTTCCATGGATAGTTGTGGAAAGATCTAAGGAGAAGTTTGAAGAAGGCGGATGCTTTCCTGAGGAACAGAGATCCGCGGCTTTCTTGAACAGCGTTGGAAAGGTGAAGAGGCCAAGCTGTTGGAGATCAGGCAAGAAGCTCAGAATGGGTGTTATGGCAACACCCCATGGGCTTTCGTCACGGTTGGTTCATCTCCACCAAGTGACACATTACTGGACTTTCCTCCTACTTTACATCCTCATTATGATTTGGCAACCTTTCTGGAGAACCTGCTGAATCACTCCTCCTTGCGACTGAAGCAGAAGATTTTTTATTTTATTTTTTAAGGATGGGTTATGACCTCCCCTCCTCTTCCCCCAAGGAGCTTGCATTCAAAATAAACTTTGCTATAGAACCGGCATTCTATAGAGCTTTAAAACTCGTGGACTTCAATTCCCAGAATTCCCCAGCCAGCATGGCTGGTTGAAGAATTCTGGAAGTTGTAGTCCACAGGTCTTCAAGTCGCCAAGGTTGGACACCCCTGCTGTAGACTAATATTTTTCCATTAATGCCCCCCGCTCAAAAGAATCAGCTAAAATGAAAATCCAAGAGTTAATTTAGCATTTTAGGTTTGACCAGCCATTCCTGTTTCCAGGTTATTGCTGCCTTCTACGGACAAAACACCCTGAAGAAAAATCATTGATGCCTTCTAATAAGGAGACATCTCAAAATAAATTTTAAAAGCATCCTTTGTAAATTCCCCTGAGCCCCTCTGTTTTATTTGGATAGTAAATTTGTCTCGGAGTTGTTGTTTGGAGTGGACGCTGGCACTATATATATATATATATATAAATGGCTTTTCAACCAAGCAATTTCAACCAAGCATGGTAGACAGATGACTTATCCTCTGGAAACAAATACTATGGAGGTAAGATGCCCCTAACACTCCTTGGGCTGTGAGTGTGTGCCTTAAAACGGCTTCTACTGTACAGCACAGTGGAATTGCCATGGTAATGGCTTCGCAGGGTAACGGTTCCACAGTACTCCACAAGGGGGCTCCTTCTGGTAAGGGGGATTGGTTCTCATGGGCCCTCAGCCCTCCAAGGAAACGTCAGGGGATTGGCCAAGTGCAATCAAACGCTACAAACGTGAAACACCAGCATAGACAAGAAACTCCCGAGGAGAGGAATAGAAGACTTAGGTGACGCTGCGCGAGAGAGCAACTACATCTACAACTTCGGAGACAGTACAACAGCGTGAGGCCTGACTAAAGGATAAGAGAGATAGAGCTACTACATCTAGAACGTCAGAGACAGTACAACATTCCTTTTCCTGTCTAATACAGAATTGGGATAAATAAATATCCAGGCAATGCCAGGTTATCGCCTATATATAAATAAGTTAAAACAAGAGCGCACGGAATCTCGACGTGCCCATCCCTTCCACGAGGCGATTCCCATTTCTGAACTGATAGTCGCCACTCACATGCAGGTTGTATCGAGCATGTTGTTGTGTCCTGCTGGGCCTTGGCTCCTCACCACCTCCAAGATTTCTGTGATCACCTCCTCCAAGTGCGGGTCCAGGTGAAAAGCCTCCGGATAGTTCACAAGCCAGTAGCTGAAAAGGAAGCAAGAAGTTCAGGTTGGAGCTGCATGCTTGACTGGAGAATTCTGGGAGTCGAACTACCCCACATCTTAAGGTTTACTAGTTTGCTGACGGGAATTCTGGGAGTTGGTCCATATATCTTAAAGTTTACTAGCTTGCGGCTGAGGAATTCTGGGAGTTAAAGTCTACACATCTTAAAGTCTACTAGCTTGCTGATGGAGAATTCTGGGAATTGAAATCCATACATCTTAATGTTTACTAGCTTGCTGACCGGGGAATTCTGGGACTTGAAGTCCACAAATCTTAAAAGTTTACTAGTCTGGTGGCTGGGGAATTCTGGGAGTTGAAGTCCATATCTTAAAGTTTACTAGCTAGCTTGGTGGCTGGGGAATTCTGGGAATTAAAGTCTACACAGCTTAAAGTCTACTAGCTTGCTAACCGGGGAATTCTGGGACTTGAAGTCCACACATCTTAAAGATTTACTAGCTTGATGGCTGGGGAATTCTGGGAATTGAAGGCCACACATTTGAAATTGGCAAAGTTGAGAAACCTGGGAGGGTGGGGGGAGGAGAAAAAAGACAGTGGAAAGAGAATTCAGACCGGACAAAGTGGCAGATCTTCAGCTGACGTGAAGGATTCTTGTCCTGAGCTGATTCCTGATATGTGATCAATAGAGTTAAGGCTTAATTGGTTCTCAACTACTTAGGGAAAGGATTCAGAAATCTATTTTGCAGAAATGCACTTCTCTCCCTTCCTTCCAACAGAGTCCCTTTACTATGTGAGACCTTCTAGCACAGGGTTGTCAAACTCAATTTTATTGAGGGCCGCAACAGGGTTGTAGTTCACCTTGTGGGGGGGGGGCTGGGGGGAAGCGTGGCCAGGATGGACATAGCCAGCTCGACGTCACTCATCGAGGCTCCGTTTCTGGCCACGATGGCTTCCTGCAGCCCTCTGCCAGTGAAAACAGAGCCCTGGGAGAGCCCTCCCGAGCTCCGTTTTTACTGGCAGAGAGCTGCAGGAGGCCGTCATGATTGGAAACGGAGCCCAGGAGGCCTGCATGTGGCCCTCCCAAACTCTGTTTTCACTGGCAGAGGGCTGCAGGAGGCCGTCATGACCAGAAACAGAGTCCGGGAGGCCTGCATGTGATCCTCCCGAACTCCATTTTCATTGGCAGAGGGCTGCAGGAGGCCGTCGTGACCAGAAACGGAGCCCGGGAGGCCTGAGTGTGGCCCTCCCAAGCTCCGTTTTCACTAGCCAGGTCCAGCCCACGGGCCTTGAGTTTGATACCCCTGTTCTAGCAGGACCCTATTAGCTAAGAGGACATAATGCTGGAACATTTTTTTCACATAGCTCCTGATCTGTTGGAGCATTTGAAGGTCAGGCTGCCTTCATAGTTCAGCAGTTCAATACTGCCTCCCGCTACAAAGCTTACACTAATTAACTGGCATAATTGCTCCCTGGGGAGTTAATTCTCGAGGAGCCCCAGTAATTCACCCAGAAATTGTTCACTGGGAATTGTCATTCGTTGCAAGTGCTAAAACTCAAGATTCTTTTTGTGCTGGTTTTTTTTAAAAAAAAATCAGAACGCTGCTGAAGTATATAATGCTTGTTCTAGAGCTGTTCCTATTCTCCGGTTGGAGGCTGGACCAAAGAAATTTGCTAGCTTCCTATAATGCACAAAAACCCATATCCAGGTTCATATAATGTACTGTAAGAATAAACAGTATCATAGCCTGACTCACGCAGCCTCCTAAAATAACAGCATGGAAAAGAACCAGCCCATTTTATGCAAAGTCAGTCCCTCTAGAACTGATTTTGTAATTGTAATTTTTGTCAAGGAATCCTCGACCTTGTCACCACTAGCAAGCATTCCTTTTGCCTTTCTTGGAACTTTTAAATCTAAGAACTTTTCTTTAAATTTAAGTTCTATTGTTTCCGCTGTTTTACATACGGCATTTTATTCAGTGTTCAGTGTGCCTGGGGTCCCCTTTGGTGAGATGGGCAGCATACAGTTTTAATAAATAAATGGATGAATAAATGAATATGAAAACTGTTTCGTATCCAACAATTGCCACCATCTCCTTGGAAAGACATTCTAGGGCAGATGTCAGCAACCCGCAGCTCTGGAGCCGCATGCAGCTCTTTGGGCTCCCTGTTGAGTGATTTCCACCACTGGCTGGCCCGCCCTTCGCCCTCCCCTCCCAGTCACTCCTCACCATGCCTGAGACGGTAAAACACAAAAAACAGAAATGATATGGAGGGAGGGAGGGAGGAAGACCCATTTCCCACAGAAAACACTGGGAGCCACAAAATCTGGGTAGGTGTGGCGTGGCTTGGGTCATGTGACTGTTCTGACCCAAGCTTCATAAATCAAAATTAATCACAAACTTGTTTTAAAAGCAAAACCTATTTTATTGCAACGCTGGGAATTGTTTCCATTCCCAGCCAGAACTAATCTTAAACAGTCCCCCAAGATAAGCACACACCTTTCAGTTATGTGGAATGCTGCCAAAAACAGAAATATCCAATTAACTATAAAAGAAACCAACCAAAGCACACAGAGAACTCAGAACCGATTGAACTACTTTGCTTCCTGCAGAGGTTTCATCATTTAGGCCTGACTATTATCCCCCATGGGAGGGGCAATCGCCTCCCAGCCTTACTCCTGAGTCCCCCTTTTGTTTCAGCTGCTCTCGCCTTCTAGCAGCTCTGCGCATACGCACACTGGGAACAGGCTCCCCTTGCTCCTCTGCCTTGCTGCTGCCAGACTCTGGAGGCTCCGGAGTCAGCACCCCACTCCCAGATGGTCCTCGCTCCATCCCTGCATCAGATGCAGGACCCTCGTCTGAGTCCCCTCCAGTCTCCCTGATTGGTCCCTGGTTCTTCCCCACTGTCCGATTCTGCTGCCATTTGCACCGGCTGCCAGCAAACCACAACAGTGAGTGACGTTGAATTGGCCAAACCCACTTAGGTTTTGTGGTTCCCGTTTTTTTTCTTTTCTGTGGGAAATGAGTCCAAACGGCTCTTTCAGCGTTTAAGGTTGCAGACCCCTGAATCTAGGGAGTGTCTATGGAGATTCTCAAATCATCCAGGTCGTGGTTGTCCCCAAAGTGCTTTTTCAAGAGGCAACTGGACTTATCTTGGGTTTTCCTCAAAGATGTTCCGCTTCCGAGAACCGACATGCAGAACTGGGGAAGCTCCTTGGGTGAGAAGCGAAACGTCATCAAGGAAAAACGAAGGTCAGCCCAGTCGCCTCTCGAAAAGGCACCTCGGGGATATCTTCAGGAGAGATTCTTTGTGTTCTCCAAAAGGATATAAAGTCAAAAGATGTCGAGCGAGCTCTGCAGACGGGACGACCCAACTATGAACGGTTAGTGTCATGTTCACCATGAAGTCGCTGGTGCACAGCTTGCCGTCTATATCTGGAGAAGAAAGACAAGGTGTTAGAGTGGATCTGTCGCTAGGCAGGAATGGAACGGAACAGAAACGAGGAAACCAAGCGGTCTGGGATTGATCTGCCTCCTAATACAGGGCATTCCTGGTCTTTAAGAGTTTGGTCTAACGCTTAAGGTACCAGGCTAGAAAGCAAGAGACCGTGAGTTCTAGTCCCGCCTTAGGCATGAAA